TGTACCCTCTGACCGTGTTCAGTACCCAAGCATCTGACGAGATGTGTGACCATACATGGGAAAAATGTCGGAGTCTGCCCCCCACTGCCCATAGGGAAGAAGGAAACAGGAGAGTACTTACCATAAGGTCGTCTGCCTGGGCGGGAGCCACGTGGTCCCCGAGCCACCCATGGTTGTGGGAAGAAAACCGGGGTGTTGCGGTGCTCCGTGAAGGAGGCATGTCCAGTGTAGGAGCCACGGCTCTGTCGGAACGAGCCCCTATTGGCACGGCCGGACAGACGGCTCCTGGCTCTTCCGGCCCCACCAAAAACCTTTGGCTGGAAAATCTTGCGCATGCTTGACTGCGCTTTGTCTAGGGCAGTGAAAGTGTGAACAAAGGAGCCAAGCTCCTTGACAAAGTTGTCTCCGAACAGGAGGCCACGGGCCTGGGCGCCCGGTTCGGTTATAGCCATGTTCACCAGTTTTGGTTCTATCTTTAATAAAATCGCTTTGCGACGCTCTGTGGCCACCGCACAGTTGGCATTGCCGATCAGGCAAATCACTCTTTGTATCCAACCACTTATGGCGGAACGATCTAATTCTTGGTCACTTTCGACCATATCAAAAATTTTTGTTGCCGGGCCCAATATGTCTAAAATCTTGTCCTGGCAGTTGCGCAGGGAGAAATCAAGGCCCTTATTAGGCTTCCAGCCAGTCTTGCCCAAGAATTGAATGATTTTTGGGTCAACTGCAGGTGTTCTGCAGGCCTCGTCAGGGACAGTGGGGCGTGGGCATTCTGCCCGCAATTTGCTTCGTGTCACCTTATTTAAAGGTTTGCGAGTCCGCGATGCCACGTATTTGGCCACATGGGCCGAAGGTGACCAGTCCGCTGACCTTGGATGACATAGGTCATCGGGGTCGAACAGAGGTTCCCCGTAGGGGTCAACTAATCTGGTGGCATCGTCTGGCACTTTAAGCTCCATGTCATACGACTCAGATGGAGGTGCAATCTGTGTACTCGGGTCATGGTCGTCGACCATACCCTCTGATTGGGGATCTGATGGATCCTCCGAATCCATATCAGTGACCTCTTCAATCTCGCTGAGATCAGACTCAGATTCTAGTTGGGCTTTTGCCCGCTTCCATAACCTAGCCGATTTTGCCCGGCTAGTGGCTCTTTTGCGCGGTGGTATATTAGGCGCGCCATCTGTGACAGGTGTGTAGCTGTCCATCTGTGAGATTGAAGAGTGTTTAGTTTTTGCAGTGGCCTTGCGGCCAACGTGAGGTTGGGAAGGGGTTACTGCAGGCAAAGCCTGGGAAGCGACCGGTTGGGTCGACTTTTGTGCCCCAAGTATAGCGTGAGTAATAGTCTGTGACAGAGATTCAGACATCAGTCCCATTGCTGATGTGAGGGCCTTAGTCACCACATGGGACATGGTGTTGTCAAACATAAGCTGCATATCAGCAGTAGATTCAAAATCAGCGGGGTTAGTTGCACCAATTTCAGGTACCCCTGGGGTAGTTTTAACAGACCCCAAATTATTGATAAGAGACCCAGAGGGTACATCTTTATCCCCAGGCATGTTATGTATACCACTGGCCCTTTAAATAAATGAACTGAGTTGACCTAGATGGGTTGAGTAACCCAAAGATACAAAGGGGGAATATACCTTTAAAAGAAAATAAGTACTCACAAAACAATAAGCACAATTAAATGAGACAGGTGAGGAGGGGGGCAAGGAGCCGTCCGACCGCCACTGTAGCTGCAACCCAACTCCGAGGACCGGGAGTTGGGGGTGGAGCTACGTGCCGCGCGCGGGAAAAACAGAAAATGGCCGCCGGAGCAGTGCAGAGGAGGCAGAGAGTCCGGTAAGCCCTGCTCGCGGCAAAATGTGTAGCGCTCAGCGCGCACAAGTACGCCGCGAGCAGGGAGCTGATAACTGAGCTCAGTGAGCTCTGTAGTCGGCGGTCGGGCACGGCAGGAGGGCGCAAAGCGCCGGGTGCGGCTCCAGCCGACGTCCCCGAGCCCCTGCAAATTAGGCTCTGAGGGGCGATCGGCTGGAGCGGGGAAAAAACTTAAAGGGGAAATTCAGCAGAATAAAATAATAAAGGGACAACTATGAAGGATGTCCCTAGAAACGTTTTCTACAGTAGCACATCAATTATACCAAGTAAAAGGTAATAAAGTAACACATATAAAAAATTAACACTAGAAAATTAATACTATAAAATTAATGCTATAAAATCAATACTATGAAATGAATGCTAGGAAATATTAATATAATATGAAAGTAATTCAATATAAAGTAATTCAATATAAAACTAATCCCACAGTTAAGGAGCCTGAGGGATCAGATATACTTAACTGAGGGAGCAGCAAAGAAAGAGGAACAGGATTGGTTGACAGAGCCTATTATGCTGGAGAAGTGGATCCTGATTGGCTGTTCCTGTTACTAGGAAGATTACACCTGAGACTGTTAATGTTACTATTGGTTATGTTTATAAAGTTTTTTCTTTGCTGCTGAGGGAAATAAAGAAAGAGTGCAGCATAATAGGAGCCTCCGTGTCTTAATAAAATCAGTTTATCTTTTGTATATATTTCTCTCTTTTAAAAAAAAATAATTTAAAGTTGTCACCGTCTTCTTCAGCTTATTTACCTTCTGAATTCCAAAGAATTGTAGTGAGCTAAAATCACCATTATGAATCTGATTACAATGAGCTGAAACTAAGTGGGTTAAAACGTCATTTTTATTCCTTATGTGCTAATTTATTGAATATTACACGTATTGTAGTCCACATTTGCACGTTACAAGGTATATAATGTGGCTTGTGTTACACATAGTAAATGATTTGATATTATACTCCTTATTAGTAGGTTTAGAGGAGAATGTATCTTTCTTTTTGGTATTTGCTATTGTCACCTGCCAAGCCTGACAGTGTCCACAATTAAAAAAACTAAAACTTTCTCTGTCTCTGTCTCCTGTGTTGCCTTTTACAATGCAACTTTTTGTTAAAACCTGCTTAAGATTGCTAGCTCCTCTATATACCATTTTTGTTTTTTGTCCAACATATACATCTACGTCTTTATTTTGTTTGAGGATATGCCAGAGTTTATTTAAAATATTTGTAAGAACATGACTCTGAGTTAAAATCTAAAATAAAACTTACTTGCTCATTTAATAAAAGGTTTTGCTTTTCTTAATATTTTTATAGTTCTTTTCTCATTTTCATTTTCAATTTCTTAAAATAGTTTTTCCACTTCTTTTTGTACCCTTCTTGATAAAATGTTTTCATTCAAAATTAAGATTGTTTTGCAAACATATTTTTATCTTTACAATTTCTTCTGAGCCTTGTAAATTGACCCTTTGGTGGCGCCTTTTTTTGTTTTAAATCAATAAATCTATTAATATCAACATTTTAAAAATATTATATCTGACTTTATAAAAATTCTTAAATCTAAAAAATTAACTTCCTGGTTATTCATTTTGATCGCCAATTTTATACCCCAGAAGGTTGAATTTAAAAATGTTAAAAAGTGATCCAGGGAGAGACAGCTTCCTTTCCGTATAAAAAAAATACATCATCAATATATCTCATGTACAGGACCAAGTTTGCAATCCAGTCATGCCCTGAATAAATAAAAAATCGTTCCCAATACACCATAAAAAGATTTGCATAACTGGGTGCGAACTTGGTTCCCACAGTCGTACCTTGCTTTTGTAGGTAAAAGTTACCCTCAAACCAAATACTTTTTATGTAGAATGAGGGAGATACCATCAATGATAAAATGAACCTGTTCCTCCTTAAAATCCTTAGAGTCATCTAGAAAAAAACATCACCGCTTCGCATCCTTTGTGATGTTCTGTAATGGTGTAGAGAGTGCTTACCTCATGAGTGACCAATGTGCAGTTTACACACCATTAAAAGTTTTTTAAAATATGCATTAAATTCACGGTGTCCCTTAAGTAGGATTTAGTTTCTAAAACCAAAGGTTGTAATAAATATTCTATATATTGTGACAGGGGAGATTACAATGAATCTACCCGTGCCACAATCGGCCTACCTGGAGGCCAAACTCAAATATAATTATTTGATGATTAAAAATTTTTATTCATTTTTATTTAACATCCCTTTTTGAAAACCTTCACCTAAAAATGTTATCAAATGTTTCTTTATTTCACACTCCAGATCCTTTTTTTAATTTACAGTATCTAACAGTTGATCAAAAATGTTTACTCTAATATAAAAGAATTTGTCCATAATGACAACAACTCGGCTTTTATCTACCATTTTTATTACAATACTTTTTGGAATTCTCTGCTTGAAGAGGTGGTTTTGTCAGAGTCACTACAGATGTTTAAACTGCAATTGGATAAATACTTGCAATAACATAACATACAGGGATATAATTTCTAATTAGTGGGGTAATAGCTGCTTGATCCAAGGAGACATCTGACTGCTTTTTTGGGGTCAAGAAGGAATTTTTTCCTAGTTTGTGGCAAAATTGGAAGCGCTTCAGACTAGGTTTTTTGCCTTCTTTTGGATCAACAACAACAACATATGTGAGGAAGGCTGAACTTGATGGACGGAAGTCTCTTTTCAGCTATGTAACTATGTAACTTTTATCATCCTTCAATTCTTTTAAGGCCTTTCCTCATTTGATAAATTGTATTGAAATTTTGATAGGTGGTTGTGATTGGCTGAGAGTGTCAGCTGACCACTTTTGGACCATCACAGCATGTACAGCAGCTGGCAATAATAATGCAGTAAATTATTCTATATAATTCAATAAACATTAGTAAGGTGCAATTTATTGTGAACAGCAACAGCCAGCACAGAGCGCCATTGCTCATGCTGATTTTTACTCTTAAGGCCTTGCAGCTTAGACAGATAAAGGACCCTTAATATCAGGATAAGGAAATGTGTTTTACCACCTTTCGTCCCGTGAGCACAGAGCGAATAACAGAATCACACAAGCTTTCAGAGATATGCTTTTAATATTGTCATATTACACTACACACCAGAAACATTGATAAATACTGCAATGGAAATGTTAAAAAAAATATTATACATGTTTAAAACACATCTTTTCAAATAAATAATACATAAAGTAAGAAAAACTAAAATAAAAAAATAAAATTACAGGTAATGTAACCCATTCTATAATATGGGGTGATGAGATGCATTTCAGTAATATTTTATTCCATTAGTCAAGACATGTTTAACCCCTTGAGAGGATGATTCTATGAAGGGGTTAAGGCAGCTTCATATGCTATGAAACACAGGCATGGTAAAATGCGTTGGTCATAGAAAATTGAAAATTTGGTACGGGGGGAGGGGATGTAAGCAGAAATAAATAATGTATGTGTTGGGTGTACATGGACCAGTCACAATATTTACATTCTAACGATGCAGAGAGGGGAAAACGAGCTAAATGGAAAGGAGAGATTGAGCCAGTAGTGGGATCATGGTAAAGCGCTGAGAGGAACCAATATTAACTTAAACCATGTAGACCGGTTTCCAAGGCATTAATGCGGGAGAAAGGATCAAGCCCGCTCTGTCACTAACCAATAGATGCTCCAGGCATTGAGAGAGTTAACACAAAATGAAAAAAATCAAGAACAACCTGGACAATGGGCTCCTCAGATGGAGGGGTCCGCTTGCTTGTGTTATGCGTGTACTTACTGACATACACATAGGGGTTATTTCATATAATGGCTGCATCTAAATGGTAGTGAATTAGGGATAACCACACACGAGAAGGATTTGGGAATTGTTATAGACAACAAATTAGGCAGCAATATGCAATGTCAATCTGCAGTTGCTAAGGACAGTAAGGTTTTGTCATGTATAAATAGGGGCATAAATTCTTGGGATGAAAATATAATTTTGCCTCTTTATAAATCACTGGTAAGACCACACCTTGAATATGCTGTGCAATTTTTGGCACCTGTTCTAAAGAAGGATATCATGGTACTAGAAAAAGTGCAGAGATGAGCTACAAAATTGATAAAAGGAATGGAGCATTTTAGTTACGAAGGAAGGTTAAAAAAATTAAATCTGTTTAGTTTGGAAAAACTGCGCCTGAGAGGGGATATAACATTATACAAATATATTCAGGGCCAATATAAACCATTATCGGTAAATCTATTCATAAATAGGGCTATACATAGGACACGAGGTCACACATTTAGGCTGGAAGAAATGAGATTTCATCTAAGGCAAAGAAATGTTTTTTACAGTAAGAGCAATAAGGATATGGAATTCTCTGCCTGAAGGGCTGATTTTATCAGAGTCCATACAGATGTTTAAACTGCAATTGGATAATTACTTGCAAAAACATAACATACAGGGATAGCATTTCTAATTAGCGGGGTAATAGCTGTTGGATCCAAGGAGACATCTGACTGCTATTTTGGGGTAAGCAAGTACAAATTTTTACTAGTTTGTTGCAAAATTGGAAGCACTTTTGGGTTTTTTGCCTTCTTTTGGATCAACAGCAAAAACATATGTGAGGAAGGCTGAACTTGATGGCCGCAAGTCTCTCTTCAGCTATGTAACTATGTATCTCCCCTAGGAACTAAAATAGTTAATAGGAACAGCCTCAGCCTTCGTGCTATGTTTAAACAGGGGCATTTAACCAGTATATGTTCTAAAACAGGGGTGTCAGGGCATTGTTTTTTCTAATACAGGAATTTCTGACCATTGTTTGTTCTGTAATAGGAGTGTCTGGTCATTATTTGTTCTATAATAGGGGTGCCTTGTCATTATTGTTCTATAATAGGGGTGCCTAGTCATTGTTAGTTCTATAATAGGGGTGTCTGGTCTTTATTGTTCTATAATAGGGGTGTGTGGTCATTTTTGTTCTATAATAGGGGTTCCTGGTCATTATTGTTCTATAATAGGGGTGCCTAGTCATTGTTCGTTCTATAATAGGGGTTTCTGGTCATTATTGTTCTATAATAGGGGTGTCTGGTCATTATTTGTTCTATAATAGGGGTGTCTGGTCATTGTTAGTTCTATAATAGGGGTGTCTGGTCATTTTTGTTCTATAATAGGGGTGTCTGGTCATTATTTGTTCTATAATAGGGGTGCCTGGTCATTGTTAGTTGTATAATAGGGGTGTCTTGTCATTATTTGTTCTAAAAAAAGGGGTGTCTGGTCATTATTTGATCTATAATAGGGGTGTCTGGTCATTGTTTGTTCTATAATAGGGGTGCCTAGTCATTGTTCGTTCTATAATAGGGGTGTCTAGTCATTATTTGTTCTTTAATAGGGGTGCCTCGTCATTATTAGTTCTATAATAGGGGTGTCCAGTCATTATTGTTCTATAATTGGGGTGCCTGGTCATTGTTAGTTCTATAATAAGGGTGTCCGGTCATTATTTGTTCTATAATAGGGGTGTCCGGTCATTATTTGATCTATAATAGGGGTGTCTGGTCATTGTTTGTTCTATAATAGGGGTGCCTACTCATTGTTCGTTCTATAATAGGGGTGCCTAGTCATTATTTGTTCTTTAATAGGGGTGCCTCGTCATTATTAGTTCTATAATAGGGGTGTCCAGTCATTATTGTTCTATAATAGGGGTGTCCGGTCATTGTTAGTTCTTTAATGGGGGTGTCCGGTCATTATTTGTTCTATAATAGGGGTGTCCGGTCATGGTCATTGTTAGTTCTATAATAGGGGTGTCCGGTCATTATTTGTTCTAAAAAAAGGGGTGTCTGGTCATTATTTGAGCTATAATAGGGGTGTCTGGTCATTGTTTGTTCTATAATAGGGGTGCCTAGTCATTGTTCATTCTATAATAGGGATGCCTAGTCATTATTTGTTCTTTAATAGGGGTGCCTCATCATTATTAGTTCTATAATAGGGGTGTCCAGTCATTATTGTTCTATAATAGGGGTGTCCGGTCATTATTTGTTTTATAATAGGGGTGTCCGGTCATTGTTAGTTCTATAATAGGGGTGTCTGGTCATTATTTGTTCTATAATAGGGGTGTCCGGTCATTGTTAGTTCTATAATAGGGGTGTCCGGTCATTATTTGATCTATAATAGGGGTGTCCGGTCATTGTTAGTTCTATAATAGGGGTGTCTGGTCATTATTAGTTCTATAATAGGGGTGTCCGGTCATTGTTAGTTCTATAATAGGGGTGCCTGGTTATTGTTTGTTCATAATAGAGGTGTCTGTTCTATTGTTTGGTCATTCCCTATGGGGAATCTCTAAAGCATGCGTATTAGCTTCAACCATTGTCGTGAAGTCGCGGGAGGAGGGACTGATCCAGCACAGAGTGCCCCCAGCAATGAAAACAGGTAAGTGAAAAAAAAACTTAAATTGCCAGGCGGTGAAAAGACAGAGGGACACTAAAGCCCTAGGAATACAGTTTTGTATTTCTAACACTATAGTTTTCCTTTAACTCTCTCAGTGCCACACATGCAAGCATCTCTTCATCTGGCATACGAGCTACCAACAGTATACCTGGACATTTAAGCAGTGACATGTTTTACCTCACAGTTTAGAAATATGCTCCCGTTACCAGCATTGGATTACTTCATCTCTGGCTCTTCGGGATGTGATTATAATTTTCATTGACTACTGGCCCATCAATGATACACAGATCATACTACCTCACTCATTCAACATGCAAGAGACATGGACCCAGAGGGACCACACGTGAAGGTGATGTTTATCCCTATTTACTATTGCAGGAACATGGCACAATGACGGCGTGGAACTTACAGAGAGGTCTAAACTGAGACACAGGAGCTGAAACTGAACAGCAAACGCGGGGGTTTTGTAAAACATACACATCTGCTGCCTTTTCTCTTCGGAAAATATGGTTGCAAGCGATGGAGAGAGAAGAAACCAAAACCGCAGTGTGCGCTGTGCGTCAGCCCTGAGCGGTTGTTCTGTTAGGTAAACTGTAGGATATTGGTAAGTTACGGACACATTAACATGAAACTATACTGGTCCCTTCGTAACAGCTGCATACAATTAACCCAGCCACAAATGGGACAGCTGGCAGTCTTTTTGATGAAAGCAGTTGCAATATCCTAATATCTATAAATACAATTTGCTGGATGCAGGCATCTCGTATATCTATATACTATTAAACTCAACATATGCCATTCTATAAAATGATTTCTCAGTTTATACATCAATGAAAATATATATATATATATATATATATATATATATATATATATATATATATATATATATATATATATATATATATATATATATATACATATATATATATATATATATATATATCCAAAGATTGCAAATGAGTACATCAAAAAGACTGGAGGGCAAAGACTGCACATTATTTGAAGGTTGTGAGGCACGACTTGTTTCTAAAGGTCGACGTTTAATGTTACATATAACTGCACTCCTAACTTAGTATTTAAATATAGGGGTGGTGAAAACACATTAAGCCACTCTTACAGTGCAGAGCATTCAGGGTGACCACGGGGACAGAACTCAAGGGACAGTGACTACCACTTTATTTTTAGATCATTTCACTGGAAAAATCACAAAAAGTAACATATATTAATAGATATATCTTGCTAGAAATTGCACACCTGCTGTCTGAGCACCTAATCACTACGTGTCCTGCGTCGTTTAATTCACAGCCAGTATGACGGGATGTTACGGATTTTACTCACAGGCTGATTTCGCTGCCACCCACGTTTGTCTATAAATGGAGCAGCATAAAGAGTGGGGTTTTTGGTTTCTCCTGGCTCCATGAACAGACGGGTGCATGTCCTACCATAGGAGGAAGCAATGGCTGTTATTGTGGAAAGCACAGATCAGTGGCTCACTCCCTCACTATTGGATATGGCAGGCGGTGGAGGATGTAGCTTGGCAGCACATGCACGTGGGGTTGACAGACTTTGGGGGGATCAGGTCCAAGTCTTCATCGTCTGGGATCTCGTCTAACCGGTATCCATCCTTTAGCAACTGGATATTCAGGTCTTGATTAATCTGCTGTAGATAAAGAAAGACAGAGTCAAGTATCAAAATGTATAACGCAAGGAGGGCAATATACACTAATGTAAAGGACGTAATACGAGTGATATGAGGCCTCTAATCCATGAAGATTACAATCCTGTGTGTAATTCGAATGAAACCATCTGTAATTGTAAAAAGAGCCGTTAATATATCTGTATCTTTAATTATATTGAAATACGTCCTGTAAGACACCATTAAAGGGACACTATAGTCACAAAAACAACTTTAGCTTAATGAAGCAGTTTTGGTGTACAGATAATTCCACTGCTCAATTCTCTGCCATTTAGGAGTTAAATAATTTATGTTTCTGTTAATTCAGTCCTAGTGACACCTCTCCTGGCTGTGACTAATACAGCCAGCATGAAAAAATATGGTTTCATTTTTGTGAACTGAATTTTCATCGCACACAGGAGACTCTTTGTGTCGAATAGGGGACGGTACTGAGTGACATAAATGTTTATAGTTAGATGTTTTTGAGGCAATAGGCCTTATCTTTGTGTTTTTTTGATTCTCTCTTGATTATTTATTTTGTAATTACCACTGGGGGGCCTTGAGACATCTGGGCATCACTTTTAATATAGATATATATATGCATCTTACATCCATATATCAGACTCCATCTTCATACATGGAATTATTTAGATCAAGTGCTAGCTAGCACAGATATTTCTAACCACCCCTTCCCCTCTTGGTGAAGGGTACTAAAACTAAAGAAAGTTTAAACACTTTACAGGAAGTGTTTAGGAAGGCTGTGCAAGTCACTTGTAGGGAGGTGTGGCTAGGGTTGATGCACCAGGGCTTGGTAGTCAATTTAGGATGGGGTTCATGGGTTGGGGTTTGGTGATCTATTTAGGCTGAAGCTTATGGGTCAGGGTTTGGCAATCTATTTAGACTGAAGTTTATGGGTTGGGGTTGGTGATCTATTTAGACTGAAGTTTATGGGTTGGGGTTTGGTGATCTATTTTGGCTGAAGCTTATGGGTTAGGGTTTGGCAATCTATTTAGACTGAAGTTTATGGGTTGGGGTTGGTGATCTATTTAGACTGAAGTTTATGGGTCAGGGTTTGGTGATCTATTTAGACTGAAGGTTATGGGTCAGGGTTTGGTGATCGATTTAGCCTGAAGTTTATGGGTTGGGGTTGGTGATCTATTTAGACTGAAGTTTATGGGTCAGGGTTTGGTGATCTATTTAGACTGAAGGTTATGGGTCAGGGTTTGGTGATCGATTTAGCCTGAAGTTTATGGGTTGGGGTTTTTGTGACCTATTTTAGCTGGAGTTTATTGGTAAGGGTTTGGTAATCTATTTAGGCTGGAGTTGTTGGTCAGAGTTTGTTGATCTCTTTAGGCTTGGATTTATGGGTTGGGGTTTGGTGATCTATTTAGGACTACATTTATTGATAAGGGTTCGGTATCTATTTAGGTTGGAGTTGATGGGTCAGTGCTTGGCAATCTATTTAGTATGAGGTTTATGGGTTAGTGTTTGGGGATATATAGACTGGGTTTATGAGTCAGGGTTTGGACTGTTAAGGACTGCTGAAGTTGATTGGTCAGGGCTCTACAATCTCTTTAGGCTGACGTTATTAGTCACGACTTGGTGATCTATATAGGCTGAAGTTTATTTTTCAAGGTCTTGGTGATCTAGAGCGGTTGAAGTTTATTAGGTAGGGCTTGATTATCTATTTAGTCTGGGTTTATGGGTCAGTGTTTGAGGATCTATTTGGTTTGGGTTTATGGGTCGATGTTTGATGATCTATTTAGTCTGCGTTTATGGGTCAGTGTTTGAGGATCTATTTGGTTTGGGTTTATGGGTCGATGTTTGATGATCTATTTAGTGTGGGTTTATGGGTCGGTGTTTGAGGATCTATTTAGTATGGGTTTATGGGTCAGTGTTTGATTATCTATTTAGTCTCGGTTTATGGGTCGGTGTTTGATCTATTTAGTCTGGGTTTATGGGTCGGTGTTTGATGATCTATTTAGTCTGGGTTTATGGGTCAGTGTTTGATGATCTATTTAGTCTGGGTTTATGGGTCAGTGTTTGATGATCTATTTAGTCTGGGTTTATGGGTCGGTGTTTGATCTATTTAGTCTGGGTTTATGGGTCGGTGTTTGATGATCTATTTAGTCTGGGTTTATGGGTCAGTGTTTGATGGTCTATTTAGTCTGGGTTTATGGGTCAGTGTTTGATGATCTATTTAGTCTGGGTTTATGGGTCAGTGTTTGAGGATCTATTTAGTCCGGGTTTATGGGTCGGTGTTTGATTATCTATTTAGTCTGGGTTTATGGGTCGATCTTTGATGTTCTATTTAGTCTGGGTTTATGGGTCAGTGTTTGAGGATCTATTTAGTCTGGGTTTATGGGTCGATGTTTGATCTATTTAGTCTCGGTTGTTGGTCAGTGTTTGAGGATCTATTTAGTTTGGGTTTATGGGTCGGTGTTTGATCTATTTAGTCTGGGTTTATGGGTCGGTGTTTGAGGATCTATTTAGTCTGTGTTTATGGGTCAGTGTTTGAGGATCTATATAGTCTGGGTTTTTGGGTCGGTGTTTGATGATCTATTTAGTCTGGGTTTATGGGTCGGTGTTTGATGATCTATTTAGTCTGGGTTTATGGGTCAGTGTTTGAGGATCTATTTAGTCTGGGTTTATGGGTTGGTGTTTGATGTTCTATTTAGTCTGGGTTTATGGGTCAGTGTTTGAGGATCTATTTAGTCTGGGTTTATGGGTCGATGTTTGATCTATTTAGTCTCGGTTGTTGGTCAGTGTTTGAGGATCTATTTAGTTTGGGTTTATGGGTCGGTGTTTGATCTATTTAGTCTGGGTTTATGGGTCAGTGTTTGAGGATCTATTTAGTCTGCGTTTATGGGTCAGTGTTTGAGGATCTATATAGTCTGAGTTTATGGGTCGGTGTTTGATGATCTATTTAATCTGGGTTTATGGGTCACTGTTTGAGGATTTATTTAGTCTGGGTTTATGGGTCAGTGTTTGAGGATCTATTTAGTGTGGGTTTATGGGTCAGTGTTTGAGGATCGGTTTAGTCTGGGTTTATGGGTCGATGTTTGATCTATTTAGTCTCGGTTGTTGGTCAGTGTTTGATGATCTATTTAGTCTGGGTTTATGGGTCAGTGTTTGATGATCTATTTAGTCTGGGTTTATGGGTCAGTGTTTGAGGATCTATTTAGTCTGGGTCTATGGGTCAGTGTTTGATGATCTATTTAGTCTGGGTTTATGGGTCGACGTTTGATGATCTATTTAGTCTGGGTTTATGGGTCAGTGTTTGATGATCTATTTAGTCTGCGTTTATGGATCTATTTGTTTGAGGATCTATTTAGTCTGGGTTTATGGATCTATTTAGTCTGGGTTTATGGGTCAGTGTTTGAGGATCTATTTAGTCTGGGTTTATGGGTCGTGTTTGAGGATCTATTTAGTCTGGGTTTATGGGTCAGTGTTTGAGGATCTATTTAGTCTGCGTTTATGGGTCGATGTTTGATGATCTATTTAGTCTGGGTTTATGGGTCGGTGTTTGATGTTCCATTTAGTCTGGGTTTATGGGTCGATGTTTGATGTTCTATTTAGTCTGGGTTTATGGGTCAGTGTTTGAGGATCTATTTAGTCTGGGTTTATGGGTCGATGTTTGATCTATTTAGTCTCGGTTGTTGGTCAGTGTTTGAGGATCTATTTAGTTTGGGTTTATGAGTCGGTGTTTGATCTATTTAGTCTGGGTTTATGGGTCGTGTTTGAGGATCTATTTAGTCTGTGTTTATGGGTCAGTGTTTGAGGATCTATATAGTCTGGGTTTATGGGTCGGTGTTTGATGATCTATTTAGTCTGGGTTTATGGGTCGGTGTTTGAGGATCTATTTAGTCTGGGTTTATGGGTCAGTGTTTGAGGATCTATTTAGTCTGGGTTTATGGGTTGGTGTTTGATGTTCTATTTAGTCTGGGTTTATGGGTCAGTGTTTGAGAATCTATTTAGTCTGGGTTTATGGGTCGATGTTTGATCTATTTAGTCTCGGTTGTTGGTCAGTGTTTGATGATCTATTTAGTCTGGGTTTATGGGTCAGTGTTTGAGGATCTATTTAGTCTGGGTTTATGGGTCGGTGTTTGATGATCTATTTAGTCTGGGTTTATGGGTCAGTGTTTGAGGATCTA